TTGTTGTCAAAGGACTGCGTTTTTCAGTCGCAGTTGCACCCGCTTTTGAGAAAAGCCGCTAGGCTTGTATTGAGGTGCCAAGTAGATGACAGTACTTTTTTGGAAGTCCGYACAGTTTTGGGTAAACGGTTTTCATTTCTTCCCAAGCATCAATAGTGTTTCGACTTAGTTTTAATACCTGACAATTCAAATAAAATCTCAATTCATCTTCTGGAGATGTAAAATCGTTCCTCCTTCCTCCTTCCTTTGTGCACTAGAGTTTTGTGATTAGCCCAGAGGTCAAACTCATTCTCTGCCGATTCCACTGACGACTCGGTGCCCGTTTCCATAGTATCATCCGCAACTATTATATTATTATAATTGCATTCCATAAGAAATATAGAGTCTACACAGGCAATAGACACGGTCATACACGACACACGTGTACGTTCGATTGGTATGTGTTAGATTGCGATTTACTAGTGTATGGGCTTGTGAGCATGTCAATCCATGTTTTCGAAAATGTTTGATTTTTTACGATCAGTGTGCACATATGTATGTCATGTATGGCGCTGTGTGCACACAAAGTCTCATTTCTCTCGTGTCGCCGAATAGGAAAGATCGCGGACGAGCAATTACCCGGTTGCTTGTCACACATATTCACTGTTTGTGGAACAAACGCAAAATTTAATCGTATGTCGTGTATGGTGAAACGATTTCATACAGTCCGAACGCACATGTGTCGTATATGGCTACTATTAGGAATATGAAATTTGCATGCAATATTGCTGGTAAAACAGTTGTCTAGACAACATCAATTGCATCCCGAAATGCCCTATTAGGATTATTGTTTAATAAACTCAATGGTAGTAAATTCATGGCAGTTATTATTTATTAAAAAATTAGGTTAATTTTTTTGGTATAATAGTTAATTTAGGTGTCACAAATTTATGACTTCTATGTTTGTGAAATTATCATCAAATGTTTTTTTAAGCTACTAATTTATTTATCAACACATTTGTGGAGCTGCGTATATATGAAAGGTATGAACTATTTTTATCTATATATTTTTTCTGGACAAATATCGTTTTTACAGACATTATAATGTTTAATTATTGCGTGGCTCTTTTAACTGTGTTCGAGTTTCCTAAAGGCCTAAAGGAGTATTTCCTTTATATAATATATAGTTGCATAGAAAAATCGATTTATGGTAATCTAATTACAATATGTCAGCGTCAAAATAAGGAAAAACAATTCTATCAATATTAAAGTGTTTATTAGAACGCTAACTTTAATACAATAATAAAAAGTTTGGCTGGGATTTAGAATAGCATCCCCGGATTTCGGGAATAAAATAGGTATCACTGGAAAGTTGACGTTCTCCAGATCACGAAAATATATGTATATATATAGTTGCCGCTGACTTATAATTTTAAAGATATTTACATTTAAAGTTGAAAAATTTGAATTTGGATAATTTGTATATTGCGAATAATTTTTTCACTTATATTATGCACTTTCCACTTACTAACACTTCACTATAGGGTTTCTGTATATTAATTTTTTTAATATTTGTTTTAAATAAAGCTTTATTTGGGTTGTGTTTAGTATCGCGCCGGTTAATTTTGGCTCACCGTACCTAAATGAGAGAACCAAATGGAAAATTTTAAACACGCATGTATGCTTAAATTATCGAACTTTGTTTTAAATAATATTTTATAAAAATCGGTTCACAAATTTTTCCACAAATTCACTTTAAAAAATGCTATTTTTTGCA